CTCATAAACACCATTTATTGTTTGGTTGCAGGGCCTCTTTTTTTTTTCTTTTTTCTTTTCCAAGACAGAGTTTCTCTGGGTAACAGCCCTAACTGTCCTGGAACTAGCTCTTGTAGACAAGGTTGGCCTTGAATTCACAGAGATCTGCCTGCCTCTGCCTCCTGAGTGTTGGGATTAAAGTCATGCATCACCACTGCCCAACCGGCAGGGACTCTTACAAGAGCCACCATGTGGTTTTTGCTGCTAAGGCTGAATCAGGATCCTTTCTTAAAGAAGCCATGCCTCTGCTTGCCACCAGCAAACAGAATCTGCCAAAGTAAAGATGATTACCAAGAAGCTGCACTTGACTCTGTTCTTGGCTGTCTAGAATTTTTTTTCAAAGTTTTATCAGGCTTTATGTGGAAATTCTTGCCAAATGTTTCGGGTGCTATTTGTTTTGAAAAGAAAAAAGGTGAATATATGTAGATATAATAAAATAAAAAGGTAGATTATTGAATCTGCTTTTAAAAAGCAACTACTAATTTTAAATGTTTTACATTGAATTGGATTTTTGTATATTGAATACAAATTTTGTGTATTGATACAAATTTGAGCTTAATTTTGTTAGAATATACTGTACACACATTTCTACTCTTGTTCACAGTATTGTACCTATACAACTCACATAACAATGTAACGAAAATTTCTAGTCCTTGAAAGTTATTATTGCCAACTGTTTAGGATAATAAGGAAATGCAGATTAGTAGCTAGTCACCTATTATAATTGAACTTGTAGTCACAGTTATGTTTTCAAGGTCAAACAAAGATATATTTTAGGTAGACAGGTCATATTCAAACACTTCCAGAGATCTACAGAATGTGACCTTTAAGATGTTTTAATAACATCTGTTCTTTTTGCTTTTTTTTATGACAATGACACGTGTCTGCTCCTGGCAGCACCAATCTACTTCAGAGTAGATGATGGGCATCAAAGAAACTCCACATGGAGCTTGCTTTCTTTGTGGCAAAAGTAAACCACTGGGCAAGAAAGTGCCCCTGACTCAACTGCTGACAGTATACTGTCCTAATTGGACAAACAGGACACAAAAGAGACTGACTGCCAAACCTTGCCCAGACAAAGTGAGACAGTCCTTCAAAATCCTGCTTCATAGAAAAGTCTGTCAGATATTCTAGAACCTATATGCCAAAGATTCAACATTTTAGAGGAACTTTGGGTAGCTGTCCAGGCAGCCGACTGTTTCTGTCATTTCTCACATTTTTTGGAAGTCACTTGCTCACATTTCCTGTTTACTCAATTAATATTATTTTCTTCTTGTATCTCTGAAGGAGTTGAAGACTAGATATTTATAGTTATAGTTTTCCTTGTTTACCAAACACAGAAATTAAGTTATGATAGAAAGTAAGTTAGGCACAAGACTTTGGACTCACCAAGATAAGATAGATCTGGAATATTTTCTCTGAATTTGTCAAATGCAAATGGACTAGACATTGTTGATGTATTTATTGCATGTATATATTATATATAGTTATTGTACTTGTTGTAAATAATTTTTCTTTTGTTAGTTATAGCCTTCTTTTTTTATTTTAGACAAAAAAGGGAAATATAGTGATACCTTATTTATGTTTTAATAAATAAAGCTTGCCTGAAAGTCAGAGGGTAAACTAAGCCACTAGAGGCCAGGCAGTGCTGTCACACAGCTTTCTTTAATTCCAGTATTTGGAAGACAGAGGCAGAAGGATCTCTGTGCGTTAAAGGCCACCGTGGGCTACACAGCATCAATGCAGAAAGAAATCCAGGTGGTGGTGATTCACACCTTTAATCCCAACACTAGGGAGTCACACAACTTTAATTCCAGCACTAAAGGGGAATATAAAACAGGAGGAAACAGAGGCTCAGGGCTCAGTCTGCAGTTGCCCAGTCTTGGTAGAGGTAAGACTTCTCTAGTGGATTTTCTGATCTTCAGCTTGAACCCCAGTGTTTGTCTCTGGTTTTTATTATTTGTGCTACAAATGCTTGATGAACTCATTTTTTCATTAGCATGGCTTCTTTCTCTGCAGAAAGTTACTTTCACCTTCCAAATTTCTGATGGATTTCATATCCCAAGGGATTATAGCTTTAAAAAAAATGTGTTCTTTAATGATCAGTGCAACAGAGGTTCTGGAGACTATAGAGTAACTGCTTATATTTAGCGGCTCATGTTTGGCCTTCTCTCTACTCTGGAAACTCCCTATTTCTAAAATTCTTGATCTTCCAGTGCCCCAGAAAATAGAAGCCTCTCGATTTGAGCTTTCTAGACAGCTTTGAAAAGATATGTATTTAGCCTTTTCCTCTGTATAGTAACCTGTTTGTTCTGTGGTTAATATGCAGACAGAAGCAAATGAATCTAAATTTGCTTTTGTAAATATCAGTTCAAACAGGGAACTTTTTGGGATAAAGGTTAAATGTGATTAAAGTCAAGAAGTGAACACTACTGATTGAAAAGGTAGATGCACACATTCAGCTATGCTCTAATCCTTCAACGATTAAGGACCACCGATTGTAAAGGAAGACTCCTAACCAAGAAAGCTCTAATCCTTCAACGATGAATGAACACTGATTGTAAAGGAAGACGCCTAACTTCAGGAATGCTCTAATCCTTCAACAACGAAGGGAGGAGTGCTATGAGACTGGGAGTTAAAACCTTTTCTTAGTACGGGAGTTGTAGCATCACTACTTCTAGGAACTATTTTTTATATAATTGCATAGATGTCTTAATTAGGGTTACTATTGCCATAATGAAAAAAATATGACCAAAATCAACTTGGGGAATAAAGGGTTTATTTCACTCACAGTTCCATAGAACAGTTCATCATCAAAAGCAGTAAGGACAGGAACTCAAGCAGAACAGGAACATGGAGGCAGGAGCAGAAGTCATGAAGAAATGCTGCTTATTGGCTTGCTTAGCCTGCTATCTTTGAGAACCCGGAACTACCTACCCAGGGGTTTTCCACCCACAATGGGCTGGGCCTCCCCCATCAATCTCTAATTAAAACCCCTACACGCTTGCCTTCAGTTGGGTCTTATGGACATTTTCTCAATTGAGGCTCCCTCCCTCCCCTCTGATGACTCTAGCTTGTGTCAAGAAGACATAAAACTAGCCAGCACAACAGGTAATGTCAATGCCTCTTCTTTGGGAATTTTAATGTCAAAGATCTTTCTTTGGGGTAGAATTTAAATAATTCTTCCCATCTTTCATAGCTTATAACTTTTTCAAATATCCATTTTGTTTCCACAGGTCTACAATTAGTTCCCTCAGGGTGGAGAGTTTTCTGCATAAACTCAGTACCTGTGTGCCAGAGTAGAGGCTTCCACAGACCCAGGACTGTGCGTGAGCTTAGTTACTCTTTACATCAACCTATGAATGAGGAGCTATTCTTATGTTAATTTACTAGGTGGCAACACTGAGGTACAAGATATCAGCTATAGCAGATAGCAGTTTTCATAGAAGGAATAGAACGTGTGTCCTTAGTCAGACGCCCGAGTTCTGAGGATAGTCCAATTTGAAAATAGTTCCACTTGGCCGACTGACCAGATAAATCCTATTTCAGTGTATCACAAGCATTTGACTTTAGTGAATATGCAAGATTCTTTCTAGAGAATGTATGAGAATTACTGTTTTTTGAGACAAGTTCTCACATGTAGCCCTGGCTGGACTAGAACTCACCACGTAGATCAGGCTGGCCTCAAACTCATACGAGATCTTCCTGCCTCTAATTCCTGAGTGCTGGGATTAAAGGTGTATGCCACCATGCGGACAGTGTGATTATGTGATGATGTTTGGTGAAGCTGATTGGAGGCTCTCTTTTGCTAACAGAGCCCCTGGAGCAAGGCTGGAGAGAACTTCTAGAGGCGTGGCTCTCAGCCTGTGGGTTGTGATCCCTTCGGGGTTGAATGACCTTTGCACAGCGATTGCCCATCAGATATCCCACATATCAGATCTTTACAGTGTGATTCATAATAGTAGTGAAATAACAGTAATGAAGTAGCAGCAAAAATAATTTTATGGCTGGGGTCACCACAACATGAGGAAAGGGTCCCAGCATTAGGAAGGTTGAGAATCACTGCCTTAGAGCAACCTAACTCCTAACTGGCGATCAAGATGTCTTCCTAACAGACATCAATCACTGTGAAGGATCAAGATGACTTAATTTGTAGTCCCCTCCTTTACTTATGGTCAATGAAAGAGAAATTTGGTTCAGCAGAGCCAAATGATGTCTTGTGAAGGTTTATCAGAGGTCACTCACAGAAACTCACAGGGCTGTGACCTCTAACATGAAGACTATTCTGCAGCATGCAAGAACTTAGAAGGTGGGTGAGACATACTCTTAAAATCTCAAACAAGCAGCAGTAGTTAAGTCCTAAAACTATATAAAAATCCTTCCTAAGGTAGTCACTAAACTGATCCTTGAGAGAGACTTTGAACTAAAGTGTAAATCAGCTCACTTGTAAAAACGAGAGCTATCTTAATTAATTTTCATCCTAGGTCAAGCACAACTTTATAAGCCAATTCTTGTGTTCGCTTGTGTGTATACATTTACATGTTTGTGTGTTGGCCAGATATTAATATGTTGTCTACTTCAGTTGCTCTCCGTTCTGTTTTGGTTTTTGTTTGTTTTTAAAGAGAGTCTCTCATTGAACCTGGAGCCAGCTAACCGTCAAGCTTTCTGGGATCTGCCTGTCTGCCTTCACAGCGCTGGGTGACACCTGTCCTTTGCTCTCCAGAGCTGGGTGACACCTGTCCTTTGCTCAGCCCGGCTTTGAAACCGATGCTGAAGATCTGAACGCAGTCCTTGTGTTTGGGCTGCGAGCTCTTTACCGGCTGAGGCATCTCCCCAGCTCTAGAAGCCAGTTCTTCATAATTATGCAGCCCAGTGTTTGGCTGTAATTACAAGATGAACCCACAGACTCTGCAATTAGCACGGAGAGAAGAGAAGACTCCAAAGACAGGACAAACACCATGCACTGTGGTACCCTTTATTAAAAATCGTGAGCTAACTGCAGTTGTAGCGTTCTCATTCACCATTTCAATGTTCTAATAAACTGAGAGCACATTGATACAGTCCCAGGAAGGCATTAACCTACAAACACACGTATGGCCACCCATGCACACATACACACAACAGACACACAAAGATTATAATATAAACACAAAAGTGATGAAAAACACTTTGAATGCTCTAAATCAAATGAAAACCCCTTTATTATGATGATAAACTGTGACGCTACTGTGGCTATAATGAGAGATACTGTAACTGCTTACGAAGCAAAAAGGGAAAAATACTGGCAGTTTGAAACTAGCAGCAAAAAGCAGGCAAAGGAGAATGGGGGGAAGATAAGAAGGCTAAGAAACATCAAGTTTCTAATGTTGGTTCTGTGTAGGATTGCACAGAAGTAATCCAAAATTGATTTCTAAGGAACTATTTAAAAAGTCCTTTGAAATATGAACTTGCTGTGCTTTCCAAACAGTGGAAAAGAAAAAAAAATATTTGGAATGTTACACACACACACACACACACACACACACACACAGAGGAAACATACTAGGATATCAGTTTATGGTCTTTGTTTATGACCTCCAAAAAGTCTCATAAGAAAAAAAATTTAAGTGCCAATGAAGTGAAAGAAAGTTAAAAATTCCTAAAGATGCAAGTCTGGGTGCACGGATGAGGTCTAAGAGTACAGCTCAGGGGTGGGGGCAAGGCAGGACTGATGCACATTCAAGAAGGAAGCAACGGTGGGGCCACAGAAGGCAGGCCAAGCTCTTTGAGGAGCACCGAGAACGAGGGTGGATTCAGCTCAGACTGGAAGGAGCTTCCAAAGTGCATCGAGTTCTACAGTTGCTCACCAGTTGAAATCAGTTTCAGAGTGCCCAATAAATAATCAAAACCAGCATTTCGGCAAACTGGGCTTTCTCCATCCAGATGCGGAAATAGTCACTGCACATGCAGGCTGATTGTTAATGGCACAAATATGAATCCTGGCTTAAGGAAAAAAAGCACATTGGCAAAGATCTTTTCTTTTTTTTTTTTCCTTCATGGATTCTCAGGCAAATGTCTGAAGCTGCCAGATGCCTGCAAAGGGGTGAGTTTAGTTTCCCGTGGGTTTTTAGAGGAAAGGAGATTTTATCTCCCCAAGGAAGCCAGAGTTACCCATGAGCAGGGGACCTGTTTTCAGGATGTAAGAAACATAATGTCCTCATGGCTGCCACTCATGCCAGCTTCAGAGCCAGGAAAGCCGGCAGGTAGAATGCGGAGAGAAATGGGAGGGTTGAAAGTGGGGAGCTGGAAGGCAGCGTGCCTCCGGAGTCAGGGTGGCTCAACTGCTTTCAGAACGAGACACTGCACTGTGGGACAAGGCTGGTTCTCTGGACCAGGGTGGGGGTGGGGAGGTGGGGGTGGGATAGAGAGGCATTCTACCCCCAGGGGATCTGGGCTGAGCTGCAGCAGGAGACTCGGGGCCCTGGTGGTGGCTTTCCTTTACAGGAGTGTATTCAGTTGGGAAATTACGACTTTCCCCAGGTAAATATCCCTTTTAGTTATTTTTCTCTCGAAAATCGAATTGGTTAGACAAGCTGCCGGTGACTCCCCCCTCCCACCATGGAATCTAGCTGCACTGGCGTCTTCAGGTGCTATCTCATTCGAATTAATGCCCGTCAATAACGCTGCTGGGTATCAATTGCTGTTGCTGAGGAGTCAACCCCCTGGATGACCTAACTAATCTACCACACGAGGTGCTTTTTCTATCTCGAGTTTTCTGAGCTTGAAAGAACTAGTCCTTTTAAAATGACCTAGGCCCGGTGTCTGTTTGGCTCTGCTTCACTCTTCCTCCTCCTCCTCTCCCCCTTCCCCTTCCCCTTCCTCCATGGTTTCCACAATGAGCTCCGCCGTGCAGGTGGCTTCTCCGAGGCTGTTGACAGCCTTGCAGGTGTACTTGGCATCGTCCTCCCCGCAGACGTCGCTAATAATCAGAGAGCAGTTTCCCTCTTCGTCGTAGTCTATCTGGAAGTGGCGGGACTCCCTGATTGACTGGTCATCCTTGAACCAGACAACCTCGGGGTCTGGGTACCCTGCGGCACAAGGAGAAGACACAAGTTGCAGAACCTGTCAGCAGACATTCTTATCAGCATCACCAAGTGGCTCTCAAGCTACCTCTGTTGATTAAAGCATATGTTGGCTCATGGGGTACATTTTCATATTTACGCTAGCGTATGGACATACGCTGTAAAGACTCATTTCTTAAACCACAAATAGAATAGTCTAAGTTTGTCTTTGTTTGAGACAGGGTCTGGGTTTGAAGCTCTGGTTAGTTTCCAACTTTCAACCCCCCTGCCTCCGCCTTTTGAGTGCTGAGATGACAGGTGTGCACCCTGAATGTCAGGGACCCTGACAATGTCTCACTGTCAGATGGCGGAGTTTAGTCCAGTAATGTCTAAATGTATAACTAAGGCTAGACATAGCAATGAAAGTAAAATGTCTAAAACTTAAATGTATAAAAGTTTAACTTAAATTTGAATTGAAAGTTATTAAAAAAAAACAGGTACAAGAGATCTTTTTGGAGTTGCACACAAATTCTAAAATTGGGTTGTGACAGTTATTACATGATGTGAATTTGTGAGAAAGTTCAGCTGTAAATCTAGAATGGACGAATTTATTGTATGCGAATATTAACTCCATACAGCAAGCAATGGTTATACAAAGCAGACAGGGGAGCTGGTAATACCGCTAAGAAAAAGAAAACCTATCTTTTTTTTCTTTTTAGTTTTTTTTTTCCGAGACAGGATTTCTCTGTGTAACAGAGATCCACCTGCCTCTGCCTCCCGAGTGAGTACTGGGATTAAAGGCGTGCGCCACCACCGCCCAGCTTAGTCTGACCCCAAACAGGTAATCTGTTTGTGTGTCTCCAGGGATGGGTTCCAGGGGCTGGCTTCATGTTATGCACCAGTCATGTCTCTATATGGAATAAAACACGTAAATATATGTGTACTACATATTTTAAAATTCTGTGTGTACACACCCATCACCAACTTTGCCTATGTGTATTTTTAAATACATAATGTACTACAACAACTTGCTCCTAAATTTTGTAGAGGTATTTTTAGATGAAAAAAAAAAAACAAACCCTGTAGCCTCTGGCAGTATAAAAATTACACACAAAGCTCAAGAATTCTAGCATTCTTTTCCAGGGTAATTTTGCTTTTATCAGAACAGCGTCCATATGCTTTGGTTTTGCATCAGGACTGTAGTCGGAAGTTATGCAAATACCAAGGAGATCATTTCAAAGAGAAAAAGTACAACAGATGATAACCACACTGCCATGACACATGTTTCAACATTTCAAAGGATAAAAACCCCCGGGAGGTCCAGGGACAACAGTGAGGATCTGAGTGACAGGCCTCTCTCCAGAGCAGTCAGCAGAGTCCCCAGTGTCAGGACCTGCTCGTCATCACAGTAGACACATCTGCTAGACCCTGGGCCTGCTGCTTTGAGAGCAAAGGTCCTACCGAGTAACTAGGTTCAAGACCCGATAGGGTGTGGAACTTCTCACCAATGTTCTCCCCCCCAACAATGTATAAAAGTCTAACGTCCCCTTGTTTGGGGGACTGATACCTCTGACACCTTGCCACGCTCACTCCCATCCTGTGCACGACAGCCCCCTCTCATGCTGGCTCACTTTAAGCAGCCCTCTCAGTTGGCACAGTGCTCCTAATTGTTCTCCTACCCCAAGGCCTGGTCACGGCAGGTCAGCAAACCCTGTCTCCTAAAAATGATCTTTCTAGTCAGTGTATGTGTGTGCACGTGTGTGCAGGTATGAATGTGTGCGCGTCCACAGTAGAGGGCACTGGACCCAGGGCCTCACACCTGTCAGGCAGCTGCTTTCTCTCCCGCTGGGTTACACCCTCCGCTCTAGAGTAATTTCATATTAGATCCTTTCCTGAATTGACTGCTCTCTGTTTTCTTTGTTATAAAAAAAACATCCACTTTTTAAAAAGAAGATGGAGGAAGAAAGATTGTTTCTTCCTTCCTAACACACGGCTATTTTACCCAAAAGGAACTGAGTGGCCCAGTGCTGGAGAACCAGACTAAAGCACAAGGTGCGGCTGCTGTAGCTGCTGTGCTGGGCTATGTGACCTTGGGGAGGCTCCTTGGTAAGTTTTTCTGCTTTACTTGGTCAAACCAGGATGGGAGATAACCCTGTACTTCGTGGGCACATGTTAGCACAGCCCTGAAGCCAAGAGGCCTGTCTTATCCTGCCACCTACCTTTTCCAAATGTTGTAATCTGTTGAAACAGAATGGCCTTTGTCTTCAACTTTGCTAATTCCTTGGGACCTGTGCTATGATTTCTGAGGCCTTTGTCACTCACTACTATGTGGCTGCATGACTCCCAGGAACAGAGACACCACACAAGGAAGAGAGGACAAACGGAGGTTGGCTCTGGATGTGGAGGGCTCAAGTTTCCTTGCTGTAAATTGCTGCGCGTGCCCTTGCCCTTACCAACCTACCGTTTCATTTCTCTCTTTAGTAACAGGCTTTTACGTTCACACACGGGGCCTCGCAGAACCCCTAGGACCACTCCAGATATCGGATATCATTTACCAAATGAGGGGCCTGCACTCAGCGGCCGTTCACGAACCACCCAAGGTTACACAGCCTACAGACAAGCGGTTAAGCTGGCTGACTCGGGTGGCTGAACTTCTGTGCCAGCAGTTCTTGCAGAGCCTCTTATGGGCAGCCCACATGCTTCTCAGTGGCTTGCAAAGTCCCTGTTACACGTGTCCCACAGCTAAGGAGGTCCAAGGTGGTTCACGTAGGCCTAGTGGCTGGTATGACGAAATTTCAACTAGGGCTGTGGGAAAGTCACTGAATAGCAGTCGGGTGAGCAGAAACTGGCCCTTTTGGACCAAAGGGACCCAGTGTCCCTCTGGGTTTGACTGTTCCTATCACTGAAGGCAGTAGAGGCCTAATGTCTTGCCCAAACTCTCATGTACAGCCACCACCATAAGGAAAGGCCTGGCCGCAGCTTACCTTCAATCTTGCAGTCAAATCTAGCAGCACTTCCCTCAACGACTTCCAGGTCACGGATGGTCTTAGAGAAATAGGGCTTCACATGGGGCTTTTCCTCAGCAACAGCCTCAAGGAAAGCCTGGGAGACATCTTCTAGAACATCAAGAGGAGACCAGGTCATGTCTTCGTTCCTTGTTCCCTCCCTGAGTTTAAATGGCTTCTTTCTTTTCTCTTCTTTTTTCCCTTCTCTTCTCTTCTCTCTCTCTCTCTCTCTCTCTCTCTCTCTCTCTCTCTCTCTCTCTATCTCTCTCTTCTCCTCTCCTCCTCTTCTCTCTCTGTCTCTGTCTCTCTGTCTCTGTCTCTCTCTCTTTCTTTTTAAACTTGCTATAATTTAGAAAATAGTGCAGCTTAGGAAAGTGAATCATAGCACGACTTTCTCCTGGGAATGAAATGGCCTGCTGCCAAATGGTTTTTGGCAGCAGAGAGTACTGTGCCCGAAACAGGGAACTGCTCAGCCTCCCCCTTCCCTGATGCTGACACATTGAAAAAGAAAGTCATCTTTAAAAAGGATTTTTGGCTGAACTTCATGGTCTTCAGGATATGGTTGAAGGTGTGAGAAGGACGGAATCTACCCCTTTCTGATCTTGGTACCCTAGCCCTTCCTGTTGTCGCAGGTCCCTCACCCGCTTCTGAGAAAGCTGCAGAGCCTCCGTAACTCATCAGAGTTCTCTGCCCCAAACCTATAGGGCTTTCAAGAGGCACAGCTGCAGGCTAGGATGTGGGACAGGTCCGGGGAACAACCAAGCCTCAGAGGAGCTCCCGTGTCCTCTCCTGTCCCTCTGGGCTATTTCTGGCTCATCTGGAGGAGCAGCAGAGGACTGCAGACTGTCTCTAGCTGTAAGGATGCTCCATAGCAGCCAGCCACCCCTCCCTGTGCACACAACCGTTCTCGACTTAGTTTCCCACCTGTGGGTAACAGAAGCTTCCCCACCATGAGCATGAGAGCTGCCTGGCTCAAGAAGAAAAGGATCATCCCTGTGTGCACTCAGAGCACCGAGAGGTCAAGGCCCTCACTGTGGAGATGACTATGGCTGCTTCTTGCATGCGGCAGCAAGGAGTTAGCCCCATCAGTTCCAGGAAGGGCCTACTGACCAGTCTGCCCAGGCTACCCATGTTTTAGCTGCATAGACTCTGTCACGGAAACAGGCCTGGATGAGCTAATTTCTCTTTAAAACAAAAACATAAGGCAGCAGGAATTGGAAGGATATTTTTAAAATATTATATAACCATATGTGATTTTTTTTATTTTATTTGTTCTTGTCTATCAGTATACAAAAAATCTCATTTTTATAATAAGAAAAAAGAAAGCTCTTATTAAAGTCTTTCTGAAGTCTTCCAGAAAATTAGGCAAAAGTTCTAGTTCTATCAAACAAATAATAGCTTTTCCTCTGAAAATAGTTAACAATTAAAAAATAATTGCTAGCGATAGTAGTTGTCAGGGAAACCCCCAAAGTCCTTCTGAACTTACCACTCTAGAGCATATTAAAGGCCCAAACTAAACCCGAGATTCTTAAAATGCTCCTCTACCAACAACCTTCCCCCGTCACAAGCGCCTGGGAAAACCCTGGCCCCCTTACCTTCGGACTCTAGTTTCTCTGCATTGATTGGGCTGGTCGGTGACCCTGTCGAGGACTTCCTGCCGCTGAGCCCTGATATCATTGCCATAGAGGACAGTCTCCCAATGGCTCTCACAGCATTGCCCGTTTTCTGAAAAATAGACACGAAGGTTGGACTCAGGCGGCGGTCCTGGTTCCAGTGAGCAAGTTCTGATCCGAGGTGAAGAGCCCGGGATGGGAGACGCAGCTGCTAGACGCAGGGCCTTTGGACTGAGCCCAGCCTCGCTCTGCTCACACTGTCAGCGTGTCCGAAGATGTTCGGAGAATGGAATGGGCCCTGGAACTGATGTGTGCGTTAATGTGACTAAACAAGGTCAACATGAGACAAAAACTCTTTCATACTGTGCTTCAACTCCCATAAAAGGGATAGTTTATATAAAGCCACTGCAGCCTGAGACAGCTCCAAAGACTTATTGCTGACTGGGCCCAGCGGGGCTGTTCTCATAAAACAATGCCTGCAGCAGGGTTCCAACTGGTCAAGGAGCTAGTTACTACAGACCCATGGGTCCAGAAAAGCGAAGCGGCAACTTATTGACCTTGGGCAAGCCCTTTGATCTCTCCGGGCTTCAGTTTCCTTCTGTGTATAAAGAAGGGGCTGGGCGAGGTGGTCTCCAAGGCCCCATTTGTTCTGTTTATGACTGAGATACTTCAGAGATTTGAGGAAACACCCCCGTGGCCCCAGCACAAGACTTGGGTTGCACAGTGGACTCGTTAGTGTCCACTCGCGTGTCTGAGACAAGCACTCCAATAGGCCACTTGGGAGAGGGAGGAATTTCTGCTGCGTAGGGTCAGGACTAGTCCCATAGTTTCCATGCATTGTGACAACTCTATCTAGCCTAGGATTTCTATCAAGAGGTGCTCGGGGGACAGCAGCACCTCTGTCTCACATCTTCCAGTACAGTTTCTCTCAGCCTTTCCCCAAGGTCAGCAGGGTTAGCTAAGTTAGCCCAAAGCATCTTCCTTCAGCAACAGAGACTTAAACTCACAGAGCCGACTTCACCTCAGACTGGTTCCTTGTTGGAGCAAAAAGGAAACCAGTTTTTTCCTCAGAGGCGGTTGCCTTGCCCTCACTCAGTGGACGTCATACTGTGCTAGCAAAACCACTTTCTTCCAGAATTAATTTCACACATTTGTGGATTTCATTGGTCTCACAGTTTTGACTATTTGGAAAGAGAGTGTTTTCAATAAAAAGGCTGATTATTTCAAAAGTGGAGAATTTCAGGATATTGAGGGCTCGTGCAAAAGTGTGTGTGTGCCTGTAAGCGCATGTATGTGCCCGCGTATGTGTCTTAAGCAAAGACCTGCTGTTGCAATCCTAACTGCTACTCTGCCCTCCTTGTTGCAACCTATTTTTGTGCACTTTGGACAAACATTCAAACTGACTGACATCTGGCCATCGATCTCTTCCTACACACAGCACTGTGGAGTGTGGGCATGCCCCTAGCTTCCTGCTACCACAGAGGAATGTGTGGGTGGGTGGGTGTAGGAACCTGAACATAACCCAGGGAGTCCCAAATAGGGGGAAGAGAGACAGAGGTAACCCTTCAGAGTACGACCATGTGACAGCCTTCAGGCTCTCCTGGTGGTCTGGCTGGCTGGTTGCTTGCTTTGCCAGTTGTAGTGTGGGAAGATACACCTTTTCCCATGGGAACTGATGAGGTGGCATCTATCCCAGTGGAGTCAAGATCTTAGCAGCCCATTTCCTAATCGCCTGATCCGCCCTCCTCAGCCGACTAGCCCCTTTCCAACACTTATTGGTTTGTCTTGGCCTCAGAGTCTAAGCCAGAGGACTCCTTCCCAACAAGGTCAGTCCTCTGGCCACTCACTACTCTCTGACCTTGTCCAAGTTAGTTCTCCCTTCTCCGAGCCTTGGAGTCTGGCTCCTATATAAAAGCCAGAAGATTTTAATCTCCTCGCAGCACTAGTTTCCCCAAGAGATTATTGATTCCTGCTAAGGACTGTGTATCAGGACCCCCCACATTCTGCCTTGAGCCTCCAGGCACCCTGATTCCAGACATGGGGAGCGGGGTTGATCAGGACTGTATTCACTGCACGCTGTGGACAGATGATGTCTTCCTTCTTTCTTGGTTTTATTTTGTAACCAAATGACTAATAAGAATTTATCAGAATGAGGCAAACAAAAGCTGCAGTATTTCAGAAGGAGCAGCAAAGGCATTAAGAGCAGACACTGTCCTGTGGAGAAACTTCCAGCAGACATAGGCATTTATATCCTTTCTTAAGTGGGGATACTTGCAAGCACTAAATAATGAAAAATTTAAAAATATCGACATCAGAATTAATTCTTTGGGAACTGCTTTCTGTAGAGCAGTAGTAAGGGGCTCTCAGAACTGTCTAGTTCAGTTGCATGTCTCTGAGCTGGAAAAAAAAAACAAACAAACCTAATTGCTGCTTCACAAAGACCTTTGGAAATTTTGGAACAAAAATCAACAGAGCCAAGTTTCAGTTCTTGGGCTTGTTTAGCAAAAGCCTTTCTCTTTGTCGGAGGACACAGTTGGCTAAGGCTGTGCTCCTGGCAGGCGATGTGTACCCAGGCCTCCCGAATATAGTCCCAATTTCCCAGTTGCTGGAGACCCAGCTAGGATGACCAGGACTGTTGACCCAAGACTGTTTACCTCCCAAGATTGGGTCTTTCAGTGATAACAGCTGAACAATGCTTGGAAAACTTAGGCAAGCTGGTCATCTAAGCACCAGCCTGCACACAGTTTTAAAACAGCCTCAGGACGAGAGCCCCTGACAGGTGTATGATGGCCATGAACAGTCTGTATTTATCTATCTATGTTAAAATATAGAGCAAACTCTGATATTTTATCCTGTTGTTTTTATATACATTGCTGGAGTCTCTATGGTTCCTAGAAAATAAATGCAGCTAACTTTAGCCCTTTAATTTCCACTCTTCTTTTCCTTCTACTATTGTTGCAGAATATTTGTTTAACTATGCAAAAATCTGTTGCATTTGTTTAACTAGGTAAAGATGTGTTGCATTTGTTTATGTTGCAGAATATTTGTTTATGTGTTACTGTTTTACCTTGCCTGCCTAAGGCACCTGATTGGCCTAATAAAAAGCTAAGTAGTGAGGGAGGAGGTATAGGTGGAACTTCTGGGCAGGGAGAGTAAGTAGGAGAAGGAATTTAGGGGCGGGGGGGAGAAAAGCAGACGAGAAGGAGACACCAGGGGCCAGACAGACAGATAAGAGAAAGCAGGAAGATAGGACATACAGAATGAAAGAAAGGAAAAAAGCCCCAAGGCAAAATGTGGATGAAGAGAAACAGGTTAAATTAGGTTAAAGGACCTAGTGGGACAAGCCTAAGCTAAGGCCGAGCATTCACAATTCATAATAATAATTAATAAGTCTCTATGTCTTTCTTCATTTGGGAGCTGGCTGGTTGGCCCAAAGAAAAATCGTAATCACATACTCCTCCTCCCACATCCAGCCTTTTACACCTAGTTTGCAGACAGAAACCCCGTAACCCTGTCTAACCCACCCCAATTACTACACTTCATGCAACTGTCTTTGGACTAGTCTTTCAGTGTGAATTGGAAATATGCCTTCTCTCAGAATAACTATCCAAAGATCAATAATATGATTAGGTATCTGTGTCCCACCTAGCCTTGCATGGATACCAGGTCAGGTCCCTCTCCCTGTTTTTTGGAGTCTTTTTATCAGAACAGAATAGTTAGAAGGTTCCTTCTGGGATCAGTATGCCACGTGTGCCCCCTGCTCTCTCTCCCTGGATAGCCCTGTCCTGCTGTGCATCCCCTTGGCTACTCGGAGACAGAGAGAGCCCCATATTCCTGGGGGAGCCAAGGTTCTGGAACTGGAGTTTAAATGTGGAAAATATTTCCTTAAGGAAGCAACTAACCAGAAGGTCAGCACAGTTGAAATTACTCCCCAGTGAAATTACTCCCCGGGACATTCATGTTAAGTGAGATTTTTACGGGCTAATGCGTGTGCAGTTTTGCAGAAAAGTCATTTCTAAATGCTTTACTTAAATTAAAATAGGGAAACAAGGTTATTATTTTCTGAATTTGATCCCCACCCTTCCAAAAAATCCTATTGCCAGTAAAGAGCAAAACCAGCAACTAGGAGATGAGTTGTGAATTGTGGGTCCCTCGCTAGAGAGACAGAGCCATTCTCTCTCATTCACAGCTCCTCTCTGTGCCCATACCCTGGCCCCAGCACCCTCCTGGCTTAGAGCCACTTGCAGATATTCTGAGGCGATGGCTCTGACCAGTGCCTTATGCAAGCGAGATCCAGTTAGACTTGCTTCTCTGAAGGTTGTCTGTCTTTCCTTTCCAAAGAACACTCGACACCTGATGGCCAGAGCATCATCAACAAAGACAACTTTGATGTGTACATATCTTTAAAAAAAAATCAAGTGTACTTTCTACTCTGACCAGAAAGGCCCAGGGAGGTGAGTGAGGCAGGTGTTCCGACCCGTCTTGCATCAGCCCAGGGCTTCCAACCTCCTTGCAGCAGGGCTCTGGCTGCCCTGTGCTCAGGATGCCAGCCCCTTACACCCTGCACCCACAGGCCCTTGTGGTGGTTCCTCAACTCTCAACCCTTGTGTAAAGTTGTGTTTTCTAAGGGAACTTTGGTTTAGTCACCGTGTGATAGTGAGTGGTGTTCCATGAATTCCTTTTTCCCCATCACCCGGGCAGTCTCAGTGCTCCTAACCTTGAATCTCCTGTTAAAGGCTCCGCCCTTTATGCCCAGTCCACGTAGTCTCAAGGTGGCCCAGTTTCCACCTGCCAATCCCTCCACCATGCTGTTGCTCCTTACCTCTGGGCTTTAAGTATCTTCTCTACTAAATTCCCAGCTTCTGCCCCTGAAGGGTTATTTTAGAACCGCGTCGACTCTAGTGGAATGGCCCCCTCTTCATCCACACACACACACATATATGGTCATGGAGCTACCGATTGTATATAAATCCTGGTGTGTGTGTATCCTTTCATATGACATTTGCTTTGGTTTCCCACTGCACCATATATTCCGTGGGTATGGAAATCATGTCCTCTCCTAAAGCCCAGGAGTTTTACAATTCAAATTGTGATAAAAGAAAGAATCAAACAGATGGAGAAGGTGCTAAGTGCTCTAGGGTCTGGATGAAAATATTACCATCTTGCTATTAGAGGCAGTTCTGGTATTATCAGTGCTTGTACTTTGGAGCCAGGTTCTAGGCTCGATTTCCTGATTTTCCACCGTGACCCCAGATGACTTCTCTCATCTACTCTCCTCCTTGGTCTGACTATGAAGTGGGGACACTAATCACTACGGTGATAAGATATAAAAGCAATGCACAGATGTGATGCTTAGTTCTTAGTGTTAATATAGGCACACCTGAGAGGGGCTCTCTAAATTAGGCTAGCCTCTGGACAGGCCTGTAAGGGATCATCTAGATTAGGCTAGCCTCTGGACAGGCCTGTAAGGGATCATCTAAATTAGGCTAGCCTCTGGACAGGACTGTAAGGGATCATCTAGATTAGGCTAGCCTCTGGACAGGCCTGTAAGGGATCATATAAATAAGGCTAGCCTCTGGACAGGACTGTAAGGGATCATCTAGATTAGGTCCACTGTGGCGGGAGAATCCACCTGCTGTGGGCAAAACCATTCCACAGCTGGAGTCCTAGGCTGAATAAAAAGGAAGCAAGCTGACTGTTCTCTGATCTATTTCATGGCTGCAAGTAGGGTGTGACCAGTGACCCAATCTCCTGATACTGTGACTTCTCCACCATAACTGACCATGCCTCATTTCTGACCCAAAACGAAACCTTTGTCCTTTAAGAATGCTGTATCATGGTCAAAGGAAAAGAGACTAACACATACAGGAAATGCTTTGACTAAGCCCTGACCCGCAGCCGGCCCTCCATACATATTAGCTACTGACAGCATTGCACTGTGTTTCAGGCACCGTCTGAGAGACCTTCAAAACTCGTCTCATAATTTTCTACCATTTTTGGTACCAGTGTTCTCCCCATTTGCTAGATAAGAACATGAGTCTACATTCAAGTTCTACCTTGCCTAAAGTTACCACTCTTTTCTCTTTGGAACACACGCCTCCTCCCCAGGAAATATGCTATCATCGCGCTATCCTTAAGGAGCTCAGCTTCTCTCTTCAGGCCATGCTGCTCCTCCCCAGCCAGGAAGACTGCAATTTAACCTAGGTGGGCAGGCTGCACAGGCCTCTGGTCCCCATGAGACAAAGCTGAACAGGACGGGAGATTCCTCTGAGCCAAGGATTTTGTATTCAGGACTTAAGTAACTCTGGGGCCTTAGGCAGCCATCTACACTAGACAGAGGTCATTTCAGTAACACATTCAGACCTTCTTGGAATCAAGTTATGGTCAACTGGGCCTGAATAAAGCTGATCTGAAGAGCAGCACCCTGTCCCCGTGGAGCCCACATACCTGCCACTTCCGTCTTGCCATGTACTTCTTCATCCGGTCCTTGGACAGCTTCTTGGCTTCCATGTTCTTGGTGTCTTTCATCAGCCATGGGTGCTGAAGGCACTGGGTGCAGTCCAGACGGTTTCTGATGGAGGCAGAGATCAGAGGGTTTCTAAGCAGGAGAGGATCTCCGAGATGATAAATGGGAAGTCATCTGCCCCCAGTTACACAGGACACAGCCCAGAGCTGTCCGTTCCCAGCTCACACACAATGATGGGGCACGGTGCGCTTGGTCCCTTCTCCCCTTGCTCTGGATTGCACTGACTGGACCCAGCTTAACCACCAGCAGATTCTCAACCTTCTGGGGTACAGAAGAGTCAGAGTTACAGGCATCTACACCTGACACCATATTCCAGGGAGGTTTTTATCATTCTGCTGGTCACATGGGGGCCTGATCCTTTTGCCTCTCCAAACAGGGGATGAGAATGGAACACTAAGACAAAACCTGTGAGCATCTCTGAATTTTCATGTCTTATACTGTGGCTGAGTATCAGGTTTATCCTGTCACACTCCAGAGAGGTTGGGGCCTACACCAACTTCTAACTTACAGAAGCCTAAGAACTGCACTGGAATTCACTTAATCTTCCTGAGAGCTTTTGGAATTGAGAAACATTTCAGAGTTATCACTTTAATGGCAACAAGATTAAGTCCAAAGGACCACATGCCAACGAAAAAGAAAAGTGGCTAGAAAGAAGCACAGTTCCTTGTGGGGATCTTCAGATGGAGGACCATGATGCTTTAAGTTGGCTTACAGTCTTCATATGTCCGCATCCTGCATGCGTGACTTCATCACAGACGTTTAGAAAACGGTGACTGTAGATGGGGATTTTGAAAGGTGTGTTGGGCTTAGGGATTTAAAAGAAGGTAATGATTTACTTTATATAATGAAGCTTGTTCTTTAGGAAGTCCATTTTATAAGCACAGAGGAGGCTAATACAGCCTGTTACCAGATCATTCTAAGGGCAGATGAGAAAATGGGGTGTCCACACAATGCTTCATCTATTACATCTTCTATGAACGAAGTTTGGTTGGTAAAATCCATCCTTGGGCCGGCGTGATCAGAAGCAAGCTATCTATCTTGGGAGCAGGAACCTCCTCCTTGAAAGGGAATCCAGACTCCCATGACACCCAGAGTCTTTTGGGGTTGCTAACTTCTGACACAACCACTGTGGCCGCTAAGAGGCTGGGAAGAATTGTGAATGTAAATCACAACTGTGCGTCCCTCACGTTGTGTGGATATCACTCTGGGAGTCTGAGTCTGGGAGGCTCAAGAGGATTCGGGGATCAGTGGGCATTGGGAGATTAGGCACAGCCATCTAAGAGGGTCTCCAGCAGTCACCTATAGCAAGGGCTCTCCCCTATTCCTAGGGCGGGAGGCTACAGCACAGGGAGCCGCAGGCCAGGTGGCCAGGTGAAAGTCAGATTGCAAAATCACCTGCCAATTCTGAACCTCTCACCTACCCCTGGAGGTGGCTGCCTCCTGCCTTCTCCTGTCACATCACCCATGTCAACAGCACCCTTCTTGGCATGGTCACAACTTCTCCTGTTAGCCTAGAGCTCCCGGCCCCAGCAGCTTCTGAGGAGCACAGAGGATCCCAAGCAGAGCCTCTACCCCCAGGCTGCAACTTAGCTGACTCCACTCACCCAGAGAGATACACCGACAAGCTTGTAACCTCAGCCCACCTCTTCTACCTAGCCTCACTCCAACTATGATAAAGGTCGCATGTTTCATCTTTCTTCACAGCTTGATTTCATGGGCAGGGACACCCCAGCATTTACAGGTCACCAGTTTGCTCTGTGTTTAGAAGGAACTGGGCCGTATCCAAGGAATAATTTCAATGTGAATGAAACACCAAGCCAGAATAATCTGGGGGGGTATAAAGAGGACTCTCCAATGAGCTATTGGCTGTCTCTGTCATCTGTGCTTGTAAGTTAAGCAGGCACTGCCCCTGGGAGCCTTGACGGGGGCCTGTGGGGTCTGCTGGACTGTGAGGACCACAGGCAAACAGACAATAAGAGGCCAATCATTACAAAGGAGAAGCTGTCCTCTCCTTGAGACCCTTGCTCAGGGGCCACCATTCCAATGGGGCTTCTGTGCTTCTAAAGTGGGCAGGGTGTCTGGCACCGGGAAGCAGGGACCACTCTACACAACTTCTAGCTGGGTCCCTCAGTGGGGAACACAAGACTGATTGTGGAGCCAGGAAGAGGGAGCTTCACAAATAAAGGAAGGCCCTGCCTTCCAAAACAAGCCTAGAGACTGACAAGACCGCCACCCCAGCTTTTTACTTCATATCTTTCTTCAGCAAGTTACTGATGAAATCCTTGGCATCATCGGAGATCTCGTCGAACGCCTCATCATCAAAGTCCCAGGTGGCAGAGGTGACGTTGGCTAATGTCTCATTATCATTGTCACCCATGAATGGGGACAGTCCGCTGACCCTGGGGGAGAAGAGCAGAAGAACAAGAATGATGGGGAGTTGAACTGGGAAGTATGGGGGAGCATGACTCCCCTAAGTGAGGGCTGAGGTCAAAGGTGGGGGATCATCCTGCACTCTGAAGCACGCACAATATGGCTCGTGCCCCTGCTTTTCCTCTACCTCCAGGAAGGAATCCATACAGCTTCTGTGTCACTTCTCAGACACTCACTGCATTCCCTAAGTAACCCCTAGGATCCCCGGCCTCTTTACATCAACCACCTGTGAGGCTGAGGTGGAAGACTTGATTAATCTACAGACTTTCACAATGTACAAAGCAGAGCCGAGACCCTCCCCAATTCCATCCTCCTCTTCCACCCAAACCACAGGCTGGCTCTCAGCCCTCAGAACCTTCACTGAGTCCCTTCTCCCATCTAGTTTTATTTTTTTAAAGATTTATTTATTTATTATGTATGTAACATTCCTTCCATGTCTGTCTGCATGCCAGAAGAGGGCACCAGATCTCATTATAGATGGCTGTGAGTCACCATGTGGTTGCTGGGAATTGAACTCAGGACCTCTGGAAGAGCAGTCAGTGCTCTGAGCCATCTCTCCAGTCCCTCCCATCTAATTTTTATGTACTCTTCTGTATTCTCCTTTCTACTTCTTTATATCCCTTCAGGTGTGTGTGTGTGTGTGTGTGTGTGTGTAGGGGGAACCATATAGGGACGGCTCATCAAATGTAAACCCAATGAGGGCTTTTAATCAGCAAGGAGGCTGAGGCGTTTACGTTCTTCTGGAAAGTCCATCTCCAGGCTGTGTGGCAGAGGACAAAGTGCAGCCTCATCAGCTGAGTGACCTTGGACACTTTCCCTACCTTCTGGTGTCACCTTCTCTTCGCGGCCCCAAATCGTCTCTTACTTAACTGTCCCTGCCCCCTCTTCATCAGCAGCAGGCACTGAGCTTTACCACCCGCAGTGTAAAGATCGGAAATAGATTAACTCATTTCATCTTAACACAGCCCCAGAACACAGGTAATTTTCACCTCTTCATTATATAAAGATGGCAAGTGAGGCCAGGTCCAGATTTGTTAGGTAACCTAATGCAGTCCCAGACACTGAGATGTGAGCCTAGGAGCCTGAACCCCCAGGCCAACCCTTTACTGCTGCTGTATGCTCATATTTCCATGCAGATTAAAAAAGCCGTAAGCATTGCACTAGCACACGGAGCGGTTAGGGTTCATCTGGCATCATGTATATCACACAGTTCTTATAGATAACCTGTACTATCTCTCAGGAGTCACAGTTTGAAGGGCAGCGATCCCAAAGTCAAACAGAACAGACTGAAGCTCACCATCCTCACTTGTGACATTGTACACCTCTTCTTCGGCCAGCAGCCTCCTCACCTTGCATTTCAAACCAAGGGCTGACTCTGTGGGTATATGGCCTGCACAGCTGCCCAGAGTCCTCCCGAGATAACATCAATGCTCCACTGCCACCATCTTTAAATTGTTAATAATGCTTCAACAAATGGCCCCTACCGCTTCAGTTTGAAAACTGTATACTCAGTCCCTTCCTGACCCTGTCCAAATTCTGTGAGATACATCCAGGGCCCCTTGAAGTCAGGGTTTTATGAGCATCCTGCTCCAAAATCCTTATTAATCCATCACCATAAACCACAACACACCGACAGCTGCTGGAGCTGTTCAGCATTCAAAAGGCCTCAGCGTACGAAATCTGCTTGTACCCGAACACTGTGCTTGAACAACTCCCACTTAAACACTGGGAGAAGGCTGGCCAGGGGAGGAGCCCCTGCTGAATGCAAGTACAAAGAGTTTAGCGCTGGTGAGTGTGTATTTTCTCACTCTAGTTAACAAACTTGTGTTTTTGAGTAACAATACACCATTGTAGATGGCTTTTCTTAAAGCAAGATGCTGACTTAAGTCCATGACGGCAATTTGAGTCAATTTTGATCATGTGCCCATGAGGGCCCGGTAGAAGGCTGCCAGTCTTTGAATTTAGACTGCTATGTGCTACTCCATCTTGACGCCATAGTGACAAGGCTGGGTTTTCTAGGGACCTTTCAGTTCCCCGACCTCTGTGGTGTGTGTGGCCTAAGAAAGCTCCACCAAGACGCAGCCTGTCTTCGCCGGCGGGCACCTGCTTCTCTTCACCCTTACATTTTCTGTTTGAAGCAAGAAGAGGGAAAGTCCTGCAGTGCCCCAGAGGAGAGCAGGGAAAGCAAACAGTCTTGCTGAGGAATGCCAAAACGGCCCCTTCTGCATGCCTCCTTTCCTAATTAGGACTTGGAATCCTGCAACGATAGGTCTTAATCGCTGTCCGTGTTGCAGGCACGGGGAGCCCCAGCCTCTGGCCTTGGCACTGCTCCCTCCTGGCAGCACACCCATCTGAGACACTCTGTCCTGCCTGGCTCTCTGCTAGCCCGAGTTCCTCTTGAATTAGAAACTTACAATATCGGTGCACATAGCATGATGACCAAGGTAGAATTTGGATATTTTAGTAATGCTTGTGTTTCTGGTTATATTTCTGCTTCCTGGGATTCGTGATCCTCCTGCTTCTGCTTCCCAGGTGCTGGGATTAAAGGTGTGTACAACCATGCTTAGTTTGGGGTTTCATTTGTTTTTCTGTTTTGGATTTTATTGCTAGAATTTACAAACAAAGAGTCATGTGTCCTTTTATCTTAGAAACAAATAACCTACCAACCAGTTAGCAAATACACTAATGCTGTATGACACCCTACCCCCAGTATTATGTAGTTTTAAATCAAAGGACTTACCCAGTTTTCATAAAACTGCTATCTGTCTGGGCAAGTTCTTGGATGCTTGGCCTTTCTCTCAAGCATGTGGATTTTTGACATTCATTCTCAAATCTGAACCATGGACTCTCAGGGTGTTCTACTTTCTTAATATCGTTTCAATGCTGAGCATTAAACCCAAGGCCGAAAGCACGTCAGACTAGCCTTGTGCCCCTGTGCTAACTGCTTAATTCTTATTTGCTTTATGTATATGAATGCCTGCATGTATGTCTGTGTACCACATGTGTGGCCTGTGCCTGAGGAGACTAGGAGAGGATGTCACAACCCCTGGAGTTGGAGTTACCAGAGAATTATGAGCTGCCATGCAGGTGCTGGGGACCAAACCTGGGTCCTCTACAAGAACAGCAAGTGCTTTTAACTGCCAAACCAACTCTCTGGTCCCCTAATTGATTTTTTTTATTTGTTTCTTTTTAGTTTTCAAAACAATGTTTCTCTGTGTAGCCTTGGCTGTTCTGGAACTTGCTCTGAAGATCAGGCTGACCTCTGCTGCCCATGTGCTGGGATGAATGCCATCATGTCTGGCCTTGCTTAATACTTAACCCCCCGACAGCAGAGCTTCACCATCAAATCTGAGGCTTAAGCCTGTTCTTCTCTCAGTCAGGGTAGAAAGTCAGGAGAGCAGAGAGCATGGAAATGCCTCTGGACTACCCTTGTGCTATCGCTGGCTTTAAAGTCACAGGCACGATCTAACTCAATGAGTGGCTAAGGGAACGCATGCCTGCTGGTAGAACTGCTGAGTGCTTCCGAAGGGCTTATACTTTATCCCACTTTCAGAAGCTTTAGGAATCCCCAGTGGAGAATCTGAAACAGCTGGGCAGATTCACGGGCAGAACCAAGGACTAAACTGGGGGTTTAGTCATATTTGCCAGAGTCAGAGTTTGGGGGGTGGCAAAACTTGAAGGTAGTGACTGGGCTTGGCAAGAGAGCAAAGAGGCAGGAAGCGGAAGCATTCCTGGGCTCAGCAGATGGGAGGGCAGCTCAATCCCAGGCAGGGCGGACAGAGGCTACTACCACACACTCTCTTTTCTAGGTATTTCTCTGACGTGTGTACAGTGTTAGAGGATGGCCCCTGGCTCCTCGGGGTTGGGAGGATGAGGGCTATAGGGAAAGGGAACCGGTAATGACTGCCTTTTTCTTGGGGGTTGGGCAGAGAGGGTGGGAATGGTGGAGTAGGGATGGGGTGGGGTTCAGTCAAGAGTGGCTCCCCCAGGTGTAAGGAAACACCCCGCGCTCAGGAACCAGGGAGGGAAGGTGGGCGGGCGGGAAGGTTTCTGGAAGGAAGGCTGGTTTATGATTTCCTTCCGGGAGTGTGGCCTGGAGCGCCCCACACTCTTCCTGTCCACTCAAGCTACCTTCAGAAAGAGATCCAAGGAACCTCCCTCTTCAGGATCTCCTCGGTGCTGCCACTGTCTCCATGCAAGGACAGGAACTGCCCTGCTTTTTGAAGTGGTCAGACCCTGCTGGCTTAGCTTAGTCCCAATACTTGCAGCTGCTGCAGGAGGCCTCCCCGGAACTGCTGAATTTTCGAGGAATTCAGACTCCCATGATGAAGCTGGATCCCCTGCACTGATGTGATGGTGCTGTCTGTAGCTCAGGAGGTACTCCCCCAACAGCTGTAGAACACTATAAAAACACACTATTATCCGGCCAATGAGATCCAGTAGCACTCACTGGTCCTAGACAGGGGGTCAGGAGGACTTTCTATACAAAGGTGGAAGGGACCAAGGCAGGAACTGTTAGACAGACAACCCACTCTCAAGCGAGGGACGAGGCAGGGCAAAAGATGCCACAAGGGCACTCGAGAGCGTCTTCTGCCTGGTTCTGCACAGCTGCACAGCGGAGGCATAAGGGGAGCCATTTGGCCGGCTCCAATTTTTGTTTTTACCATCATGTACTCTATGAGAGCCCCCTAGCTCTTGGAAGGAACTCCCAGATTTGGACTAGGCCTTAAGGAGCAGTTCAGAAAACTGGCACAGCCACGGTACAGCAGGTACAGCGGGTACAGCGGGTACAGCGGGTACAGCCGTCAGGACACCGAGCTGCGGTTGAGCCTTCTTGTTATCTGCCTCCCATCCCTTTCTTTACGCCTGTTGCCAGGCCAGTTCCTATACATCAAGGTTGTCTTCCCCATTTTAAAAAATTCTTTATTTCTTAGTCTGCATTTTAGAGGCAACCTAGTAAGCAATGGGGGTGTGGTAGCAGTATCTAAAAGTATTTTTATTTTAAAACACAGTGCTTGTCTGACCCCATACTCCAACTTCCAGGTTACATTTCCAGCAGAAGTGCACAGCTATTCTCTCTAAGAACACATTTGCCCGAAGGTTGTAACACTACACACTTGTCACTACCTAAGACCCCGTCATTCACTGGATTATGTTCACACAATGGCATGCTGCACAGTTTAGATGGGGAGCCCCCACAGCTGTGTGTAACAGTATGCATTGGTCTCATGGCATCGCGTAAAAGAAGCCAGCTGCTTCCTTCTGGGTCATTTCATGACGTCCGAGGACAGACAGAACTGACCACTTAACTTCAGCATAATGGGATGATGTTGGTCCCTGGGTGGGTGAGCATGAGCGAGCCCAAGAACTGCAGGATGCTGGTTGTGTCTGGCTTTTTGATCCAGTGTGAGACACAGGGATGTGTTCATTGTCAAAAAGGACCGAGCAGTCCAGTTACCACTGCAACTCCTCCTGGTCTGTCTGGGACGATTCCCATTTTTATGATCAAAGTCTCATTCCCTAGGAAGCTATTAGTTCTGGGAAAAATGGAACACTTGGTCACCTGCCCAGACCATGGTAAGCAGTCAATCATGCAGCTTCCATGGTCCTAGTCACTTTGATGTCCAATACAGTCAACCCCCTGCCATGACCCACTCTATATTTGTGCTGAGATCAAACCCACTCTCATGAAAATCAGAGGATCAGAGGATCCCCATGCTGCAGTAAGAGAGACCTCCTGTAACAGGAAGTTCTGCAAGTGTTGGAACCAAGCTAAGCCATAGCACCTGCAGGGTCTGACCAGAGCGAGCTCACCAAACGTGGTTTCTGCAGGGTTCAGTGTTTCCCTAGGCCAGAGACCAAAATGAATTCGGTTGCCCCACTAGCCCCAGAAGAGATAGACTGAGCTATTGGCCTCTGCTCTGCACTTAACCAGGAACAAGGAACAAGCATCCAGTACAGCATCTGTCACTAGCACCTCCTCCTAGAGGGCACAGGGAGAGGCAGAGAAAGGCAGGGGCTCTTCTCTGGCTTGGAGGACGGTGACTTTAGGCAAGAGAGGTTTGTTTTAGTGACAATATATAAATGTATATATTTCTGAAACAGGGTCTCATGTAGCCCAGGCTGGCTATGTAGCTGAGGGTAATCTAGACCTCTTTGTTCTCCTGTCTCCGTCTTTCATGCGCTGGGACTGTAAACGTGCATCACCATGTCTTGTGCATTGACGAGGCCTGAACCCAGTCCTTCATACACTCTGGAAAAGCACCCTACTGATTGAGCAACACCTCTAGCCCAGACAATGACAGTCTTAGCAGTTGCATAAATGCCACAGCTTTAGGGAGATCATCCCACCATTGCATGCTGCCACATAAGTTCAATGGCGGCTTCTAAGGCTAATGACTATGACCGAAGCTTCATCACAACCCAACAAAAGTATGTGGAGCTTAGTTCCTCCAAATGTAGCCTTGGACAAACACTACGGGTGCTTGGGTCCTGTTAGAAGTGTGGAATCTCGGTTGCCCAGTCCTGAGGCCAAGCTTGCAGTCTAAGGCATTACCACAGAGGTTGAGATATATTATAGGTTGCCTAACACTGGTGTATACCATTGTTTTCCCTCCAGCATTGCTAACTAATTACTGTATTGATTGGTTGTCTGCTGTTCCCATATAAGCCTTCCATGAAGAATGCTCATTACTCAGTATATATGTACTGGAGTGAGAGATGAGCCAGGACTGGGGTGTCCATCCTGTGAGGATGGGGTTCTGCCCTCAGAAAACAGTGAAGATGCTCATCCGTGCTTCCTTTCGCCCCATAAGCCCAAGCAAAGCCCTCAGGCTGCCAGCACTAGGGACAGTGAGGCATCCGTCATGGAGATCTTTATGTGTGGCACTGTATGTGGCTACGGAAGGGTAATGCAGGCCCAGGAACAGGGTGGGCTGGCAGAGCCAGGAATGGAAACCAATCACCCTTCTGCTTGGAGGGTGTGGTCCCCATAGTGATTCATCCTCGCCTCTCCCTCACTATCACATAGCAGCTTGGGGGCCCTCTGGTGGGAGTGTCTCCCCCCACCAAGAAGCTTGGGACTCACAGAATATAGCAGATGACTCCGATGCTCCACATGTCTGTGGCATAGCCGATGGGTTCATAGTTGATCACTTCAGGAGCCACAAACTCTGGGGTCCCAAAGAGGACCTTCAGAGACCCAGCGTTCTCTGAAACCAGAACGGAGAGGGGGTCAATAGACAGCACATCACAGAGTTAACCTGGGGCACAGACAAGGGCTTCACCTCCAGGTGTGTTCCAGACACAAGCACCTGGCCACCTGTTTATACATCAACTCATCAGGAAAACCAATAAGCTATATACTCACCTTAAATGTCCTGAGTTGGGCAGGAGGGTAGAAGAGGACACTAATGTGCCTGTTCCTGAGAGGTCCTTTCATAAGTTTGTATCTTTGGCAGACCAACCCCCCAAGGCAGAGACTGTGACTTACGTTCAATAATCTCAAGTAGATTGAGATGCTAACATTCACTACGTCTAATGTACTTTGTTATGAGCTTCAAAGGATTTGTCTTTACATTGGATACATCCTTCGTCCTTAAAAGGATTTTATAACAACATTCTCATTAATGCTAGGATGATTTCTGTGCTACCGAGGGCAAGAGAGGCACAGGAAAGTGAGGTGATTTCTCCATCCAGCTCACTAGAGATGCTCAGGACCTGGTCCCAGGTGGTCTGATTAATGGTCCAGGTTCCCCACACCACCATCCACTGCCTCTCATCTTTATTCTAAGTCTCTGGTTTCTCCTCTCCTTGGCTGCTTGGACAATAGCTGGGGAGACCTAACCTCCAAAGTGGTCTACCTGGGCCATAAAGGAGCAGAGATGTCCATTAGTGGTCAGAATCCACCCCTGGATGGGAGACGTCAGCAGTGGTAGAGCTTTGGCTCGGGAGCCACATCTGGTCTGGTTCAACACATCAGGACCCATCTCAGATATTCCAAACAAAGGCCTTACCAGGTTTTGCAGCCTGTATTCTCACTCCAACTCACACCTAACTCCCCGCTACATTTTAACTGCTTCCCTGGTCTTTGGTCCTCGGATATCGCTGTTCCCATAGTGTCCATCTACCAAGGAACCGGAACACTGTGTTCCTTGAGCTCTGTCACTGTCAGATCCTGAGACCAGTGCTTCCCTGTTCCATTTATTGGTGGTTACTGTCCAAAGGAAGGTCCTATGTGCTGGCCACCATCCTACCCATCCTGGTGGCAGAAGAGAGTGAAACAAACAGTCTGCTCAGTATCAAAGAGAGCTCTGGCTGTACTGGACTGGCTGTCAAACAAGTCCATGCCTGTGAGGACCTCACACCCTCACTGTTCTCCGGATGACCAACATAAGCCTGGACGTCCTGGAAGGCTTACCAGGTGGGATTATCTTGTTTAACTATTTCCTGTTTCTCACGGGGTGGTAAGATAGACTTGCTCACTCCAGCCCTATGGCTCTGTATTAACAGAAGTGTCTAGGATGCTGTTCAAGGGCAGACATCAGGGAGCCACAAAGGCAGAATGGGTACAGGGGGTACAAGAGGCGCAGTTGCTGACCATAATGACTTCAGTGCCTGGCAGGAGGTTCTGACCGCTCCCCCACACCTTCTTCCTGTGGAGATGTCATAAGCTGGGGTGAAACAGCAAGGCACTGAGAGCAGAGGGGCCCCCGAGCATGCTGAGCTGGGTCCAGGGTTCCTAGGCCAGCATCAGCTCTTCATTGGAACCTGTTGGGCATCTCCTCAACTACGCCCTTGTCCGGCTAACAATGAGTGAGGTTGGCTATATATTCTCTTTTAATGTGACAGCACTCGGCAAGCTGTAACATAATGCAGATATGAGCAGCCGTCATCACCAAAAATGAGTCGTTGTCATCATTATCATCCCCATGACCTTCCTACCACCGTCCCCATCACCACCAGCTGCATTATCACCATCATCATATACGTAGTTAATGCCAAGACGCGTACTGTGCGGAAGGACTGTTGCCATCGTGCCTTAGCAGCCTAACACTTCTATGGGGCAGGTACTGTTTAGTTCACCTTACAGCAAAGGAATTTGAGGCTTAGCATGATAGAGCAGTAAGTAGTAGGGACTGGATTTGAACCTGAGAAGTCTTCCTGGTCTCTGACTTTGGCTCCAACACTGTACGTTTCCAACATGCAGTGTGTAGAAGGCACACAACCACTTCCACCATGACAGATAGTTGATGGCCTTACCTAGTCTTCGTGCCAGACCGAAGTCAATGAGCTTGATCCTGGTGCCCGTCTTGTTGACACACATGATGTTCTCGGGCTTGAGGTCCAGATGCACGATGCCCTGCTTGTGGATGTACTCCACCCCTTCCGAGATCTGCCTCATGTACTTGATACACTCTCGCTCCGTCAGCTCGAAGTCCTCGTCAATGATGCGCTCAAACAGCTCACCCCCCGACACGCTATGGAGACATAGGAGGCAGAAAAGGTGCTGCAGTCACATCATAGGGCTCTAGGGATCGGAATGGCAGGGTATCCTGCCGAGGTAGGCTAGGGGGTGTGTGTGTGTGCACGTGCTTGTGCACATGCCAAGTTTCTACAGCCTCCCAAGCCCTATTAATTCTTCCACACATGTACCTGCTACGCTACTGGAGGGCTCAGTGGAGCATCTGAAAGCTGGGATGCCCTCAGGCCAGGTAGAAACAGAGAAATAAGGACAAGATCGCCTTATTCAGAAGAGTGATCCCTAGCTGTCTTTTTCTCTCACAGACCCCAGCTATGCTTTTAGGTACAGGGAACTGACATTTCAAATAGTCACTTTTCAATAGACTATAAGAATATACTCGCATAGTCAGGAAGAGAAAACTGTCTTTGATAATGAGAATCCTCAGCAAATTTGCTGGAATTAGTTGATGTAGCCTATTGTTATCGCTATAACAGATCAGCTGACTCTAAGATTGCCTTCTCTAGCCATAGCGAGCTTCTCTCGCTTCTACCTGGTGGACTGTGTGTCCCAGGCATGTGTAATCCACTCCACTTCCAGAACCCACATTTGGGCAGCTACTACTAGTTTCAGTTGGCCAGTGTATGGCCCTGTGTGAACACTCAGGTGTCTGAGGTGTACCATCTTCTCTGATCCCCATTGCAGACTTCTAAGCCCACTTTCCCTGCTCACTGCTCAAAGAACTTAAAGCCTGCCCTTGGTAACCTATGTGACATCAGGTATCAGTAATGCACTGTGTGAATTCAATCTTAGAGTTTTACAAGGGCCAGGTAGTTCCTTGTCACTGACCCTTGCAGGGGAGACAGACAAGCAGCCACCAGAGCATCCTCTGGAAGTGCTGAGTTGGGTGAAGGCCGGTGAGTATTCCAGCCACTAGAAGGAGCTAGAATAGACACTTTAGAACCACCCAGAGAAGAAAGACCCTTCACAGCCAGCAGGTGGCGCTTCTTGTTCTAGAGCCTTCATTTCTGCTGATTTCCAGCAAGGCTCTAGGACAGTGTTTCTGAACTGGTGGCTCACAAGTCCTTTGGGGGTAAAAGGACCTTTCACAGGGGTCACGTATCAGATATCCTGAATACCATACATTTACATTAGCATTCACAATAGTAGAAAAATTACAGTTATGAAGTAGCAACAAAATAATTTTATGGTTGGGGTCACCACAACATGAGGAACTACATGTAGGAACCTACAGACTCTCAACATCCTCCCTCAGAGATCTGACTCTGTAAAGTCTTGCAAGGAATCTGAGGCTCCTCACATAGTTTAGAAGTTCCTGGGTCACTCGAATGACCAGACATGTTTGGGACATCCTGGCTTCCTCTGCTATGGCTCCTGTGAGGAACCGAAACTCAATCTCTTGGCGAAACCCTCCCTTTATGCCACATAAACGGCCCTTCCCCCGGAGGGCCTCCGTGCCTTGTCTCGGCCTTGTGCATCAAGCCAGTCTTGTCTCAGTTGCTGGTCATCACAGCTGTATGCAGCCTGGCACATTCCCAGGCTTTCACTTGCAGCTGCCAGCGTCGAACACAAACAAGGTGCCCACAAATGTCTGCCTCTAAGCTTAAACTGCCCTGAGAGAGTGGCTGTTAGTCTGACTTTCTGGGGGATCTCTGAGCCGTAAGTGTCAACGTCTGAGCCACGAAGCTCATACGGCTGCATTTCTAGAAGTAGGTAACTTACTCAGTATTAGTTCACATGGGCTCAAGCCTATTCGGCTGTATCTAATGGATTTCTAAGGCATTTCTTTAGTCTCTTCCTGGTATAGAAGGGGTTAAATATTAAGTCTCAAATATTAGTTCTATAGGGTTCTCTTCAAAATGGTCACGACTGCGGGGAGAAAATACTGGTTTGATAAAGGCTGCGTTCTACAGACATGGGCCAGGATGGGGCCAGATGAAATGCATTCTTAGTGAATTGATACTGAGGGATACGGAGCAAATGAATGAATGGATACTTACCATCACCAACACTACCCATCCCAAGGGACCATACTTATCCCCAGAGCTCAAGGTCTGGGCAAGCCTTCCCTGGCAGTCAGAGAGGACAATGCTATCTAGGGACGTGGTACCCAGTATCTCCTCCTTGTCTCTTGGCAGCCATCTGGATGCTCTTTTATAAACTTTGCCTACCGTGGAACAAAGATGACATCAGCCCCCAGGGACCCAGCTGAAACTTCATGTCCTCTTCAAGGCTCAGCCTCCCACCACCCCTTGGCCAGTCCCAAGCACTTCCGATAAGGCAAGCCCAGGCCCAGGCCAGCAGCCAGAAGGACCCTTGCTGTGTGTGACCGGGCTTGTTCAGAAACAAAGTCAGACAGGCTGCAGGCATGCTCTCCCTTATTTCCACATGTCTGAGGCAGAGACTCCGGAGTGTATTTAATTACTCTCAGTCTCTCTATCAAACAAAAACTTGCCCTGCAAGCTGTCAGCCTTTCCCCTGTCTGTGGCTATGTGTTAGGTTAGGTTAGAAGGGGTGACCAGGTGGAGGATGAGCCCTGGTTGAGTTCCTATCACAGGGCAAACTCCTAACCCTCACTAGAGGCTAATCTGGCATCAGAGCCTGTGAGACTCGTTCCGTCTGTGGGGGAGGAGTGGAGCTCAGGGATGAAAGCCAGGCCAGCTGAAACCTCCTTACATTTCTCTGCTTTTTCCACCCGGCTTGCCAAGTCCCAATTCCAAGCTAAGTATGGTATTCTGCCCACTGGTGCCGCTGCTTGGCCTTACCCAGCCTCGCCTGCCTCCTGCCCCCCTCACGAACTTGCTCAAGGTTGAACTTCTAAAGATAAAGCCTTTCTCCACGTCTTCACATACCCACACTGCCTGGACAAAGCAAGCCATTCTAGAACAAATGTGAGATCTCAGCCCACGAAGATATTGAAAACTGGGCCAGGGTCACAGTCGGGTGCTCGATAGTCCTAAAAAGGGGGTGGTGGTGGTGAATGTGACCATAAGATACTAGTGAAAATGTTCTGAGCCTTTTGCAATTCCACAGAAAGAAAGTGTTTATAGCCAAATGGGGAGCCTTGAGATTATTTAATCTGAATACCTTTTGGCTGGTAGTACCTAACGATTAAAAAAAATCCCTTTTAATAGTTAACAGAGCTCAAAGGCAGGCTTCCTGAGTATGAGAAAGGACTTGTTCCACAGCATCTGCTTGGAGGTTAAAATGCTCTCAGGACACTTCTAAGTGGAAAACAGATTTGAATACAGAAAAAGTCAACTTATCTTTCTTCTAATAGCTGCCTAGGGTTGAGCACTGAGTCTCACTCACAAGCACTCTTCCACTTAATCCCACAGCATTTGTGAGGGACCACCGGGTTCTTCTACAGAACCCAGTAACCTATCCAAGGTCAGGCCATGAGAGGTGGGCTGGACTCTGAGGAAGGGCTATCTGACTCAGATATGCACTTTCAGCCTTTTTTTCTGCCCTAAGAGCTCTTTTTGGGAGGAGCCTGCCGAATGTCTCTGTAATGAGGAGAGAAGAGGCTCATTGCATTCTATGGCCTGGTCCTTCCTGGGGAGGAATGCCTGCCAGAGCAGACAGCTCATCTTCTCCAAAGAACTGATTCCACAGTTCAGGGTGCTCAGCTCAGTTCTAAGATACCTTGAAAACCCTCCAGTGGCCATACTCTTCCACCCTGAGCAGCTTCACTTCTGGGATGCAAGCTATGGGAGC